CAATTCCCATCTGTACCGCTGTGCATCATCTGGTCTAGCCAGGTCTGCAAGGCAGAATTGGGGTCCTGGTAGTTGGGGGGAACACTTTTCTTAAAGAGATTTTATGCTCTTCTTGAAAGCGTAATGCTCCTCCCCACCCTCATCCCCAAAGGTATAATGCTCAAGGTAGAGTGAGGTCTGCTATATTCATAATTAGCAACTGGTTGATTTCTTTTACAGGTGCAGGTTATCATTCTGAATCCAAAGCCAAGGAATATAAACATGTATGCAAACGAGCTTGTCAAAAGGTATGAACAAAATTTATGATCTAAACATTTTTTCTTGTCAAATCATACAAAAAGCAAACAGGAAACAAACATTTCCCCCAACCTCCCTGCTATACCCCCAGGTAATTATTAATCAAGTTACTATCTCTATAGATTTACCTATCCTGGAATTCATATATATAGGAAAACATTAAAATAACAAACAAAACCTTACAAGAGTTACAAAGCAAAATAGATAAAAACCCCAGTTGAAAAAAAATTCCAGTTGAAAAGAAAATATTAAAGTCAAGAACAAATTTAAATGGATCATAAGGGATATAAAATAATTGGGTGCTAAATTTTCACCTAACTGCATCTGCAACAATGCACTTTCCAGTGCATTCTGCATGTTAGCAAGGCCATTCACACCCCTAGTCCATGGTCAGAGGAGATTCACTGAAGGGTTTAACCATGTGTATTTCTCCTTCAATTTTTTTTTAAAAAACTGAAACACTTTTAAAATGGGTTAAAAGGGAGGCCCAAGGGTAAGATGATACATTTTCATCTAACAATGTCTGCCCAAACCAACATTACTATGCTCTCTGTCTGAAAACAGCTATTCATACCCTTCGACTATCATCTGAGGGGATTCACCAGAGACTTAATCCATGAATTCCAAGGCATTTCTTGGTTGGGAGATTTTTGATGACCTTCCTATTTCTAATTTTGCTATAGATCGGTTCAGGTCTTTTACACTGTTTTGAGTCAGTTTGCATGAACTGTGTATTTCTAGGTTTTTGTTAATTTCTTCTAGATTATCAAACTTGTTAGAGTACTGTATTTCATAGTAATATATTACTTTTTTTTCATTTAGATCTTTAGTGGTGTCATCCTTTTCATCTTTAACACTAGATATTTGTATCTTTTCTTTTCCTTTGTCAAGTTTGCCATTAGTTTGTTAATTTTGTTGCTCTTTTCAAACATTTTTTTTTGTTTCGTTTTCCTGCTCTTTTATATCTGCTGAAATATTTTTTTCTTTTCTTCTGCTCTAGGAGGGTTTGTGTTCTTTTTCTAGTTGTTGGAATTGTTTTTTTAAGGTCTTGTTTGAATTTCTACTCGTTTTTCATGTATGCATTGATTACTACAAATTGCCTTCTGATAACTGCTTTTGCTGTGTCCCAAAGATTTTGGTGTGATGGGTTATCATTTTCATTTATTTCAAGGAATTTCTTAATTTCTTGTTTGATAATATGAATTGCCATAGAATTGGTGCTTACTCATGGCAACCCTATAGCACAGGGTAGAACTGCCCCTGTGGGTTTCTGAGGGTGTAACTTTTTATGGGAGTAGAAAATCCTCATTTTTTTTTCTTGTTATTATCACTCAGTCATTTAAAAATATATATTGTTCAGTCTCCATGTATTTGTTTTTATGTTCTTATTCTTTCTGTTGTTGATTTCCAGTTTTGCTGCATTGTGATCTGAGAACATGAGTTGTAGGATCAAAATATTCTTGTTTGCTGAGGCTTGCTTTGTGGCCTAATAATATGATCTATTCTGGAATATGCACTGTGTGCTCTTGATATGAATGTATGCTGTGTTGTTATGGGCTGGAGTGCTTTGTGTATGTCTGAGAAGTTGAACTGGTTGACTGTGTTGTTTAGCTCTTCTGTTTCTTTTTTTTTTTTTAAATCGTTTTATTAGGGGCTCATACAACTTTTATCACAATCCATACATACATCAATTGTGTAAAGCAC